AGTCTTGATTGATCATTTTCTCTCACAAAATGCATGTAGCTGTTCTTGTCAGCCCTTCAAAATATTTGGAAACTACCATGTGTGACTGTCCCAAAGACCACCTACAACAGTTCTATGATCTTGTCTGAAAGTTGCTTCTGAATCTTGGAATGTGAAGTGTATAATGACCCTCTGAGGGTCCACGGTTCCTCATTTAAATGACCTCCATACTCTCCCACTTAACTTTCTCTGCATTACTCGGTTTTCTTTTGTCTTTTTTTTTTTAACTGGAGTATAATTGCTTTACAATGTTGTGTTAGTTTCTGCTGTACAACGAAGTCTTTTGTCTTGAAAGATTATTTGGTTTGAAAAAGAAAAAGACCCCGCTTTGTAGCAGAGGTCTGGAAAGGGAAAAGCTACGCTAGTTACTGCAGGTCTGGGCTTCCTCCCTCCTCTTCCAGCGGGGTGGTCGTGATTCTCTCTAAAAAGGTTGCTTTCTGGATCTTCCTCGCTCAGTCTCGCCATCACTTACTCTTGCTGCCGTCACTATGCTTGGCCAGCAGAGGGTGATCAAACCTTGGTTTCTTTTAGAATAAGGCAAGCTCCTTACCCATCACAGCTCTGAAAACTTCCCTCTTTTCTTCCCAGAGGGAGTCCACCTGTACAGCCTGTTGGGAAGCTGCAAAGACATTCATTCAGCTAAAGAAAGTGAAAAGAGAATAAAGGTGATGTAGTTAGACAACCCCATAGCTTAGAGCTGGAGCGCTGTTGCTAATGTGCCTTGGAGGACTTGAAGATGCAGCTTAATTATCTGGAAAATGGGCATAATAATAACCTGCTCTGAGAACTTTAAAGCATTTGGATCACATGAGAGTGAACTAGCTTTATAATTACCTGTACCAATAGTAAGGACATTTTCATCTTCAAAACTCTTGGCTACCATACTATTTCTGATCTCTGTTTTAATGTCAGTGCACTGCCCTTCCCCACCGCCCTGCCCTAGGATGTGGCTCTGCCCATCACAGGTCCTTTTTTGTTGCTGTTGTCCTACCCACTCTGGAGAGGGCCACTTGCCTTCTTAACAAGAGACAGTAAAGTTTCCCGCCAAAGCTTTTAAAAGAGCAGGTTGCCGGCTTGTTCCCCGTTGTTGGTGGAAGAACCCAGAAAAAAATTGCATCATCTCTGAGAAGAAGGAGATCACCAAGGGCATCTGGCCCAGCCCTCCCCCTAGCAAAATCCCTTCCTGCCCAGGACCCCTGGGTGTCATACCTGACCTGATTCGATGCAGACAGCTGGCTCTGCAATGAGGTTCCTTCTCCCAGCGTCTTCCACTAGGGCCATTCCTTCTGGGTGTGCACCTTGGGCCCTGCAGAACCCTGGGGCCACCAGCCATCTTCTTATCAGGAGTTGTACGGTTATCACAACTCACTAGCACAAGGCAGGCAAGTGTCTTGAGGAAGGGGTGCCTTTTTCTAATTTGCCCAAAGTCCTGGTAGCAGCTGGGAAGAGCTGGCTTTACTTATCTGCCTTACTCACTGCTCTTTCTTTTTTATTATTCCTGACACCCAGCACATGGCCTGACAATAATGTTTGTTGAAAGGGATTTAGATTGATTTCTTGGAGGCATGCAGAACAAACTGAATGCCTCTTCTACATGACAGGCTTTTAGATACTTGAGGGCAGAGACCAAGTTCTCATGCGTTTTCTCCTCACCAAGCAAAACCCTTTATTGCACACCTGAGGTGGTTTTGGTTTTACCATCCTGCGGTTGGTCTGTCTCTCTTTTAAAATGTGGAGTCCAGACCCAAATGCAGGGTGCACGATGACAGATAATCCAGATGGGGGGAGTCGTGCTAGCACGTGTGTGTTCAAGCAGAGGCCGTGCCAAAGACACCTGAGACTTGGAGGCAGTGGTGGTGACTACTGGTGAAGGGATGTGCATAGTTTGGGACAAGAAAGTCCTCTTAAACCTGTGCAGTAATGCCCATGACTCCAGAGGAAATACCATTCTCCGGAGGATTTGGAATTGCAAGAGCTGAAGAAGGATTGGGGCAGGGGAAAGAATTGAGTAGGGATTAGTGCAGTTTGAGAGACTCAGAGGCCATGTGAAATTCTGTCCATAACATCGGGGACTGTCACGGGTCCCAAATTTTCACAAAGACCTGATTTCAAGGTAATGTCTTTTAGGGACTCATGGGATGGAGGACACTGCCAGCATGTTTCACTTAAAGAAGGGAGACTTTTGTGAGGGGTAAATTGATATTCAGGAAAGAGTGAGAGGACCATGGAGGAAATAATAGCTAGTGTATCTGGAACACATAGGTCAGGCACTGCTGTAGCTGCCTTTCATGTAGCGGCTCATTTAATGCTTGTAACGCTATGTCCATTTTGCTGATGAGGAAACTAAGACACAGCACGTAAGTGGTAGATGAAGGATTTGATCCTGGGCACACTGGCTCCAGTGCCTGCGTGTGTAAACACTATGCTAGGCTGCTCCATAAACGTAGTTGTGGGATCACAGAGGTGGCGTATGCAGGTGGGAGAATAACTGAGCTCAGAAAGGACATGAAGTAGTGGAAAGAACCTGATTGTTGGAGTCAGACACACCTCGCTTTAAATCCAGCTCTGCCACTTATGCATGGGATCAGCTGCTTCACGTTACGGGCCTCAGTGTCCACATCTGTATAATGGGGCAACTGTCTCTACAAAGTTGATGTATGGATTAGAGAAACCTCATGGTTGTTGTTATTCAGGAGTGAAGGAGGAAGAGAGAGAGGAGTTGATGGGTAGTGCAATGCAAACAACTGACAAGGTTTCAAGGAAATGTCAAGTGCTCTAGAAAAGTAAGGGAGGATGAAGACGAGAGAAAGGGCTCTGTCAAGAACACTGGTGACCTCTAATGGTGCCATCTAAGAGGCTGGGATGAGAGCCGAGTTACAAGGGAATTCCTTGGTGGTGCAGTGGTTAGGACTCCATGCTTCCACTGCAGGGGGAAGATCCCTGGGGAACTAAGATCCTGCATGCTGTACAACGTGGCCAAAAAATAAAAACACACAAAAAAAAGAATGTTAAAAAAAAAAAGAACTGAGTTACAGGGGCTTTAAGAGGGAGGATATCAGCGGTGAAGAGATAGATGAAAACAGCAGTTCTGGTCCACGTGGCAGAGGAATTTGGTAGCTAAAAGGAAGGGTCAAAGTCAAACCAAAGATTTGAAAAATTTGCTTTTGCTCCTTAAAGCTACAAGTTTGTGCTTATTTAAATGGAGAACAGGTACTGAGGGGTGAGGAGGAGGCTGGAGGCGCTCGAGAGCAAGGCCACATCCCTCGGAGGCAGCAGGGGAGGGGCTCCAGGGAGCAAGGGGGACCAGACAGCGAGGAGTCGGGATGGCCTGAGGCCCCTGGGAGAGCATAACAAGGGGGGGTCTGCTGAGAAAGGGTGAGGCGAGGCCATGGTGGGCCTGGGAGCTTGGGGAGCAGGGAACACCCAGACAGCGGCCCCAAGACTACGGCAGAGAGGAGGGGAGGCTAGCAGGGGCGAGGGTCATGGAGGGGCCATGTCTGCGGATTTTCCCCGGGCAGCTTTCTGTAACTAAGGCACAGGAATGGAGGGAGGAGGAAGCTACCAAGGTTTGAACTGGACACAGTGAAAGGCTGAGATGCTCTTGGAAGGTAACCTTGACCCTTACGACTCCTGGGGCTCTTGTCTACACTGGGGACGCTGGAGTCTCTGGTCCTCTCCACACCCAGCCGTTAATAAACTCAGGACCAGAATCTCTCACAGGGCCCGTCGTCCACAGCAGTGACCAAGTTCAATAATGCACTGGATTTCTTCCAGCTTCTGTCTACCCTGCTGTTCTCTGAAATCATCTCCTAAAATAAATCAACTGCACACGAGCCCTGACCTCAGGTTCTGCTCTCAGGGAAAGTAGGCTAAGATTGTTGGACAGTATAGGGTTTAGTACCCCTGAATTAAGATTTGGTTGTGATACCTAAGTAAAAATACATTGCTTTTTCACACGTGCCACCTTTTACTTTTTAAAAAATTTGTTTATCTCACCATAGCCCTGGAAAGCAAGTGAGGCAGGGGTTAGTATTCCTTTAGGATAAGGAAACTGAAGAGCAGAGGAAAACAGAACACTTTGCACTTCTCTCTAGTTTCTAAATAGGGTGGAAAAAAATCAATTATTTAAATGAGACAAAGTGAAAAAAATCACATTTTGTTTCAGTCAGTTATGCAAAAACAAGGTTATTAGGTTAGAGTTCATAGTTTGAAGGTCTAAAATATCAACTTTACTTATTGCTCCTACTATTAGGATGTTCAATTTTTTAAGTCTCATAAAGTGGTCAAAGGTTTTGTTTTTGTTATTGGAGTATAGTTGATTTACAATGTTGTTAGTTTCTGCTGTACAGCAAAGTGAATCAGTTATACATATATCAACTTTTTTTAGCTTCCTTCCCCATACAGGCCATTGTGTTCCCTGTGCTATATGGTAGGTACTTATCAGTTATCTGTTTTATATATAGTAGTGTGTATATGTCAATCCCAGTCTCCAAAGGTTATTTTAATGGTTCCATCCTATGAAAAAATTATGTTTTGGGGGATCATTAAAAAGCAACTTTAGGGCTTCCCTGGTGGCGCAGTGGTTGGGAGTCTGCCTGCCGATGCAGGGGACGCGGGTTCGTGCCCCAGTCCACGAAGATCCCACATCCCACATGCCGCGGCGCGGCTGGCCCCGTGAGCCATGGCTGCTGAGGCTGCGCGTCCAGAGCCTGTGCTCCACAACGGGAGAGGCCACAACAGTGAGACGCCCGCGTACCGCAAAAAAAAAAAAGCAACTTTATTCCATGGTTTTTCATTGTTGCCAAGAAGCTACCTAAGCGCTTGTGAAATTACCTACAACATGTCATTTGGGTGAGGATTGTGTCAGTTCTAGTTTTTAACTTTGAAATTATACTTTTTTCTTTACCCAAAACACGCATTTTATGCAACCAAGGACAACAAAAAACAAACATCACAACTACTGCCACCTAGAGATGATAATTTATTGTTTTACCATGATCCTGAAGAGAAACAACATAAAGAGAATATTCATTACAAATCCCCACAATTTCCTTCCCCCACCTCACTACTCTAAAATTTGTCAGACACCATCGGCCTCCTAAAATGGACCATTGACTATAAATGCATTACCAATTTATTTTGCTGCCATTTCTCATGACTGAAACTTTAGTGCTCAATCAAATGACTATTTTCAGTGGAGGAGTTTCCTAGCTTTAAAAAAAAACCTCACTTTTCCTCTAAAATTCCATTATTTACTGAAAGAAGCCACTTTAGAAATGTTAATGAGGATTTTAAATGAACAAATTCAATTTAAAAATCATTCACTGAACATCTACCAAGCATCTGGACGCTTCAAAGACCAGGGAACTGAAAAGACCAGATTTAACAGCAATAACTTAATTCTGCGGATATACAAAGACAAGTCAGTTTCTTTTCATCTAATTTATTCTAAACTAAGAAACTAGGAACTGACAAAACAGGAAAGGTTTGTTTTACCCAGTCTACAGACAATAATAAACAAGACAATGCCTGAGTTAGCTCTCTATATAGATTTAGGGTTATCATGTTGACCTGGGTGTAATAACCTCTATTTAACTAAAAGTTAATAAAAATATTTATGTTCATGTTAAAATAATTGCTGATTTTGCTTGCATATCCCACCCCTTGCCCCTAAACTCATAGATTTTTAGAAAAAGATTTTCCTGTGTCGTCACAACCTGCTTCCCCCCGCCCAGCCCTCTCACATAAGAACCCCTGCAACCAGCAGAAGTACCTCTAAATCTAATATGCTTTATCCTCGGTCGGCAGACTAAAACCTTACTCTGTCAAGTGGCTGAAGTGGGGGTAGGGGGATGGGGAAGGCAGGCGAGCACTGGCCCCCAGCACACGCCCAGCAGTCTCTCTTCTCTCCCTCCACAGGGCTCCCTCACCACTCTTCTGCAGCTGGGAGTCTGGCCCCTACAACCCTCCCCCCGCACTCTCCTTCCTAGCAAACCTGACCTTGTCGGGAGACTAAACAATAGCGACTCGGGCAGCTGCCCGGTCCCTTCCCTGGACCAAAGGAACTTGAAACCCGCATCTGAAACGCGAATGAAATCCCAGTTTCAGCATCACCTTTCAATCCTTCACAGAACTTACTCTTTGTATCTTAATGCACTCAGCCTGGCTGCTTAATGAGTGCTTGCTGAAGGGAGAAAATTTAATTTTAAGACCAATTAACTTTGCTGATTACTATGTAATTTGAAGTGAGTCATGATTCTTTAGTAAATGGAGGTGAGAATCTCAACGATTAAAAGAAAAACAAAACAAAAAACCTGTTAAAATAACAGCAGACCATTGTTCAGAAGTCAACCTAATGCCCACTCTTTACCTTCCACTGTTTTAGGATAAGAGAAAAACATGAGGTTTGTGGTATCCACTGTTAAACAGAACCAGACAATATGAAACTAAGTTCTCATGTTAAGACATTCTGTATTATGAGATGTCCAAAACAGTTCCCAAACTTTTGTTTGACCTGCAGAATTGGAGATGGCTTACCTCCCTATAACTTCAAGTTTGTTTTACAAAGCTCTGAAAAGTAAAACAGATAGTTTCATTTTTAGATATAATAAAAAATTAATTTGAATAGCAAAATAAGTAACTACTTTTCAATGCACAGTAGTGTGTCCATTCTAAAAATGAAACCTAAATGTTAGGGAAACTTTTCAAATAATACTTTTTATTATATTCTCCAGTAGTAGTTGAAATAAAAATCTACTCTAACTTCTAGGAAAAGATCTATTTATACCACTTAATTTCCTTTTCTCTGATTCTACGTTTCACTTTGCAATCTGCAGACCTTCACGTGGTTTCCCAGCTGGGGAACCATAGCCCCCTCATCAGTATTTGAGAAGCTGCGCAGAGTGGGACCCACAAACACATGGCTCCGCTGGTAAGTGCTGCTGTCACTGTGTGACTATGTTTTAATACTGTTACTCCAATTCACACGATGACTCTTCCGTGAGGATGGTAGGATGAACCTGGTTAGCTAGCTTTAGATGAGGACGTCGAGACCCTGCAATAAAAGGTGATCAACTCTAGGATAAAAATTAGAAAAAAAGTTCTTTCCTAGCTGTGAATCGTCACAAGCCCCTCTCCTAATAATCACAGGCCAGGGGAAGTGAGTGGGAGCAAGGAGGGTACACAGGAGACAGCTGCGACAGGAATATTGCAAAATGCTTCTCAAGCCTTCCTGCAATCCCAGGGACTGGATGCCTGTGTGTCTGTTTTCCAGGGAAGAGCCCATCCTGGTGTTTTCCTATCCCAAGTTTTCTAAACACAGAAATTTAAGAGTTAGTGGAGGAAACAGGACTACGCTTCACACCATTGGGTCAAGGTAAGTGGCCCCACTGGCCCTCCCAGGACATGCCCTCTTCTTGATTGACGGGGTCAGACCTTCTTTCTCCCCCGACAAGCTCAGAGAACCCATTCTACTTGCTTGAAATGGTGATCTGGCAGCTAAGCGGTCAACTTCCTGGCTTTGAAGAGAACACTCTCAGGAAGCTGCCGATGTTTCTAGAACTGTTCCATTTTACTGCCCTAGTCGCCTGTCTCTCCTAGCAATTCCACTCATCTCCTAAGCTCTTGACTTGATAAGCACCAAACTATGAAGTTTTTCTTCTCGTTTTCCCCTTCCTCAGTTCTGTGAACTGACTTTTTGTCTATGACCACATCAACTTCTTCACTACTCCAAAACTTTGCTCTTTTGGAGCGATGTGTTCTGTCAAATAGATTAAAATAAAAATACATTATCTGTTTACAGGGAATATACAGAATAACAACAGGGGCTGGAGGTACAAAACACAGACACTGACATTATGGTCATACAAAATATATAGAAGTACCCAACATTAACAATTTTTGTCAGAAGTTGTACATTTTGCTATTTCTTTAGCATTTCCCCATTTTTTTTTTCTTCTTCTGTGGATCCTCTGGAGTTAAGATTGAGCTTCCTCTGCAGTGTTTCTGAAATTCAGTACATGATTGGAACATACTGACGGAATTCATTTTCTGTCCAAAGCAATGAGTGCTACACATGAAAGTTTTCCTCACATATAATATTAATAATGTTTATTTACAGTGTGAGCTTTCTGATGCTAAGGGCTGAGATGTGATTAAAGGCTTTGCCATATTTATCACATTCAAGAGGTTCCTTCCTGGGATGACTTCTCTGACGCCAGGTAAGATGTGAATTGTCTTAGGTATCAAACGTGTCAACCTCTCTACATATTTAGCACAGTTTCACTTTTATGCCTTTAATAAAATACTAAGTGCCTTCCATATCAAGATGCCTCATACGTCTGTAGTCTTAGGCTTTAGCCTTGCCTGCCAGGATGAAGTAGAAACAAATGCCCCACAACTTTAAGACTTTTACTTCTCTTCCTGGCAAGGTTAAGTTACATTTTTAAAAACCCCTCAAAAGCTTCCACTGGGTCAACTAGCATGCTAACAGTCAACTAGCGTACTTAAACTGTTAACATACTTCAGCCAGTCGAGAACTTTCAAATGACTATCCTGAGCACTAATTTAGACGTCGTAAGCCTTTTGGGCCATGACTCTATTACACTTTGCGCTGAAGAGCTGATAAATGAATGCAATGCAGATGGTTTTAATAAACAGTGGTAGCCGGTTTTCTTCAGAAAACTTGTCTTCAAATAGCTGCTTCAAGGAGTCCATCTGCTGAAGATCTGGAGCAACGCCCATGGCCATCCCACAGTCAGTACGATGTCCCAGGAAATGGGAATTAAATGTGGGGCACAGGTTATAGTTAACTTCCATTAAAAAGAAATGATGGCTGAATCATGTCCGCATAAAAAAGCCAATGTGGGTGGACTTGACCAGTGTTCTTTCCCTCTTCACAACAGTCGGTGCTTCGATCGGTGTCTGGAGTTAAGCACCTCACTGCTTTCAGTTGCTTCCTGGCAGCAAAAGTCTTTGCTCAAAAGCATCAGCAGTTTTCTATGCGACAACCACTATGTCTCACTCTTTGAAGAAAATTCCTAAAAGCATTTCTTCTACCTTCCCTTACTATAAAAAGTTATTTAGATGTGCTCTTCTGGAGTATCTCTCCTGTTTTTCTTAAATTGGATGGATAGAATACTCTGGTCACCAGCTGACTTCCTTAAAGTTCCCCCAGGCAACACTGATGCAACTGCTTAGGAGCTACTGGGAAGCTGGAAGTTGCTCCAAGTTATAGAGAGAGGCCAGAGAAAAAGTGCTGTTTGGCCCGGAGCTGAGGCCACAGCTGCCCCCACTTCCATGGTTCCCCGTGAAGTGACACTGTCTCACAGGCTTGGGTTGCTGGCTAGCAAACCAGTGACGAGTGACAGTTTTAGTTCTTGACGGAAAATCTCAAACTCTATGTGAGGGGTCTCCCATTATGGGGCTAGTCTTCAGGTGTGTTCTTAGTCTGTTTCTAAGTCCCTGCAGGGCTGTCTACAATCATTTGCACGCTCTCACGAGCAGTTACCTCTACCCAAGGCCCTGATGACTTCCTATGTGACCCACGCTGCTTGGGTCTCTTGTGTGCGCATCTGAAAATGGTCTGTCGCTGGCTTCCACGCAGAAGCTAATGCATCCTTCTGCATAGATGATGGGAAAGGTCAAAGTTTCATAACCTCACCTCAGTCTCTAGTGATGAGAAACAGAAAAGACATTGCGCGGTATGACTACAATACGACCAGCCACATCTTAGCACGTTGGTGAGCTTCTCAGAGCAACAGACATTTAGTAATTGCCAGCTAATGATCTCAAATGTCTTTTAGAAGTTTCTGGAAGGTGTGGGAAAAAAAGTGCTCCCTCCAATGTTCCTTTTTCTGAAAAGCAACAGAAATCACATCTTTTGAACTTTAAAGTTACAAATGATTCAGAAAGTGCCCAAATCATCAGGTTGTTCAGCAGCTGACTGAAGAAGTTCTGGTTAAGGTCTTTGCCATCTTTGCCTTCGTAAGTGTTCACATTGTTAAGATGATGGATGACGACAAAGTCGTTTGACATTTCATGGTATTTACTCTCTGATCCATGTCTAGATAGTCCATGCTGGCGGCTGACCAGCACCCTTCGTTTACATTTAGGACAAAAATAGCATGCGACCCTAGAGCTTTAGCCACGCCTCGGGCTCACAAGCTGGGCCACGCTACCGTATTTCAGGTCCTCGTGACTCACAGGCCTTGTCACGAATGTACAAATCCTGCTAGAAGTCAGGCCTAATGAGCACTTCTCATGTGGTCAGCCCTGTGTCCAGGGCTGTCGGGGATATAAATACATCCCCCGACGAGAGAAGCATCTCTTTTGGGGAGTGATGAAAACTTTCACACACGGAACAACAAAAGATTCAAAGACAGTATGCAATCAAGTGCTAACCTGTGGAGAAACGCAGTTAGGAGTGCGATAGTGCTTTAGGGAATTCGGGGATTTCGCGAAGGGAGAGAAGTGTTTTGAATCACGGTTGCCATTTCAGTAAGATTTATCTCAGTCATGAGGAGGGAACCATCTACATCTGCAGCCGTCCTTTGGAACTGTAGACTGGTGCGCGTGCCCTCTCTTTCAGGAAGAGATAGAAATCTTTGGTTTGATACTGACAGCGCAGTCCTAGATTTCTATAGCTTTGGTAGGCTACCAGCGACTGTACAGAACTTACCGTATATATACAACTAGTTTTGAGCAGCATGTGCCGATGTAGTTTTTGTTCAAACTGTCCCTCTTTTTTGAGAAATAAGGTTCAGCAAGACGTTGGCCAAGTAGGGCGTGTTTGCGGCAAGCAGGTTTTGAACCTCAGTGTCATTTTCACAGAGCCGATCTTAGTCTTTCAATTATGTACTGTGGTTGCAGAGAGTTCAAGAGCGCCTTAAAGGTCTCCTCATTACTGAAAAGCTTGACATTTTCCTGTGTGTGTGCTTCTATCCTGTGTGGAAATAGCGTGTGGATTATCCATCCCTATGACTAGCATTTTCCTGCAGGAGCTGTGGAAGAATTACATGCCCACAGACTAGGCAAAGGCAGAACACTGCTGATGTACCTGTAAGGATCCATAAGTGTGATTTTTTTTTTAACCTGTTGAGGCTTTTTTTCCCCCCTCCATGGGCACACATCTCTGAAATAATTTTAGAAACGAAAAGGGGAAATGGCTTATTGACAAATTCTCGCTTTACACACAGCTTTTCAGGAATGCTCCGAAAGCATCGAGGGAGGCAGGGCTGTACTCAGAGGCTCGCTCTCTGGTGTGGATTCTGTGATGCAGAGTGAGGGTCGAGCTCCGGGTGAAGGCCTTGCCGCACTTCGTGCACTTATAGGGCTTTTCTCGGGTGTGAATTCTCCGATGCAAAATAAGGTATGAGTTTCGGTTGAAAGCTTTTCCACATTCACTACATTCATAGGGCTTTTCCCCCGTGTGGATTCTCTGATGCTTAGTGAGGTCTGAGCTCTGGCTGAAGGCCTTCCCACACTCGTTACATTCGTAGGGTTTCTCCCCAGAGTGGATCCGCTGATGCAGAATGAGATTTGAACTGTGACTGAAGGCTTTGCCACACTCGTTACATTCATGAGGCTTCTCTCCTGTGTGGATTCGCTGATGCAGGACAAGGTTTGAGTTAAGACTGAAGGCTTTCCCACACTCACTACATTCATAGGGCTTTTCTCCAGTGTGGATTATTTTATGGCGAATAAGGCTTGAACTCCTTGTGAAGCATTTACCACATTCATCACATCTGTGGGACTTCGCTCCTGTCGGAACTTCTTCAGGGGTGTTGAAGTTTGAGCTCAGACTGAAACTTCTCCCCAGTCCTTTACCCTTTTCCCTTGGACCTCGCTCTCCTGTGCTGGGGTTTTTTTTTTCCTTGACTGTAGCTGGCCCTGGATCTCTCTTTTCTTTTCCAGTTTTCTCCTCAGGGTTTCTCTGCTGCCTTTCTACTACTCTGCCCTGCTGGTCACGTTTTTCTCCAAAATCTTTCTGGAATTTTCCTGTGGTCTCCCCATGTGATGCTGAGTCTTCTGCAATTTCAGCCTTTGAGGTGGACTCCTCATTCTCATTCCTGTTTTCACAGCCTGACACAATAAATAAAAAATACAAATAGCATCTTTTTCTTTTGAATATGTGGGTTACTCAAGTGACACTGTTTTCCAGGAAGCTTCTACCTGCCTGCAAAATGACCTCACAATATTAACTGGAGATAAAATAGTAGGAAGAAAAGGGAAAAAACCTAGGGACAACAAGGAGTAGAACTGGGAAATGAGAGGGCAGGCGAAGTGTGGAAAGGACAATGGAGGGCGTGTGCAGAGAGGTCGGGAGCGAGCAGAGGGAACAAACCAGGCGAGGAAAGAAGGAAGGGGTGAGGAATTAAGGAACGTAAGAGGTCACAACTCATGGTTCTATAATTTGGTCACCCAGTAATTAATCTGAAAGAATAAATACACATTAAAAAAATCATGGTCCAGGGACTTCCCTGGTGGCCCAGTGGTTAAGACCCCGTGCTTCCAATGCAAGGGGGGCGGCTTCAATCCCTGGTTGGGGAACTAAGAGCCCACATGCTGTGAGGCTAAAAAAAAAATTTAAAAAAAAATGATGTTCCAGTTCTAATTAAGAATTTATGAGTTAATAAAAAGAGAGAATGGACAGGTCTTTCCTAGAAAATGATAAGTGGTATTACCAGAAAGAAAGGAATGCAATTAATTTAAAAAAAGCAAATACTCTGCCAATTCTGTGAGATTTTTATTGACAAGGTGATAGTTAACAGGCAAAACAAGGAGCGCTGAACCTGGCAGGTTACACAGACCTTCAGACACAGAAACTAGTTTCTCTCCACCAGGGAGAGCAGCACAGAGCTGACAGTGCTCAAGCAACAGGGATGAGGGTGAAGAAGCTGGTTGGGGCATTAGTATATGTAACTGAAACCTGCACTGACAAACGACTGAGAACTACTGAGAACAGAGACTGAAAACAATTCCGGAGACAGCCCACAAAGGACGTAATATAAGACAAGATCTTACGAATGCAGAGCTGATCCTCTGATTTTAGCAATCTGCCTGTTAAAACACTGGAATATATTCTTATTGTGGACTGCTACATTCTGTGTGCCACCCTGTTTTTTAAGTATAGACTAAAAATTGTTCAGTACAAAAACACTATTTTATATATGTTTACATTTGTCTAGGAAAAAAACAAACTATCCCAAATCTATTCTTTATTTACTTGGCCTTAAGAAACCTTTCCACGTGAGTGTGCACTATCTCAACGCAATCACTGAAGGAGTTGAGTATCTAACCCCTGACTTGAGTGATGAAATCACCATACATACTGACCTGATCATAAGGAAGAGGAAACTGGTCTACTTCTTTTGAATTCCAAGCCTAGGTCCTTGATGATCTGGATAGTTCCCCGGCTGTTCCCAATGTTTTGTTTTGCTTTGTTTTAAGTTAGCAAGGGGTAGGTACTACCTGGCTCACAAACAGAGATCAGTTTTTTGGCTTAATTTTCACCTCGTCCAAAGAGCAAGTACTAAGAAACAACAAACCCCAGTTATCCCTATGGTTCAAAACAAAACTTGAGGTTTCTGTATTAACATCCTTTCTTCATAACTTCCCTTCATTCACCCTACCACTGCCCTCCCCAGGCAGAAGTCTTAGGAAGTGGCCTTCCCTATGACAGGACTGATCTGAGAGCTTCCTGCAGTACTATCTCCCAGGGGTTAAGACCTAATAGAGACAAATGGGACTGTTTGTCAACTGTGTCACCTTGTCTTATCTGGTTGATGCCTCTTAGAACTTCTTTGTTCTTACTACACACTCAGGAGCCAGAGCTCTTCACAGAAGATCACCATTAGGTTTGGAATCTGGGAATCCTGACCATAAGGGAGGTACAGGTGCAAGTTCATGGAATTATACAGAACTGTCGTGGAGCAGCGCTCACAGGATGCAAGACTGAAAGCCCATGGCAGGATGCAGTGTAGGTTCAGGAACATGGTCCCAGGTTAGGATTAGATTGATGATCAATTCTCACCTGGCCCTCTATAATAGGAAATACAGACACTCCCCCTGACAAAAGCACTTAGTTGTATCCACAGGGAATGAAGCAGAATCCTCAATGGTGACAGAGTAGTTGAAGAGGTGGGGATTCAGAACATAAAAGTATTTCTGCTTTCAAACAGCAAAAACTACATAGAGGTAAAAAATCCACCTGGAATCAGGAAGTCCCAGTACCAGGCTTTTGGGATTAAAGAAACTCAAATTGTTCTCTATCTGATCTGAAGAAACAGGCTCAGTAGTCTCTACCACATCAGAGATCCCAGAACTAACAGAAAAAGAGGCAATACAATCTTATCAGACAATAATCCTGCAGCCATCTTACCCTGGGAAATCACGTTCCCATAATTCTCCTGCCTGGTGTCCCTATTCAGATTCCTCCGAGCCAGGTTCTGACATCCCCATTCCTCCAGGATGAGGGACACGGCCATGTCCTCGATCTTCACCATTGCCTGAAATAACACGAGATCCCCACACTCAGTTCTCCCAAAGTCCAGGGACAGTCCCACTGCCCGAACCTGGAGTCAGGGACGGAGGTGACTGCAAACCTACAGGATGCTGGGAAAGAAAAGGTGACCACGCCAGGCTCTAGTGGACAGGTGGGAGTGGAGCTACTCTGTGGGCAGGGACATCAAGAGCCAGTGTCCTGGTGAAGACCGCTGAAAGAGCTCCAGGAAGAGGCAGATGCGAGGGACTCAGGAGGGCAGAGGGGCCCACAGCTCACCTGGGAATCTGCCGAGAACAGTGCAGATGCCATCGCCTGGTCTCTGGGACCCCCCTCGTGATGAGGGGCAGGAACGTGGGTGGCAGGGAGAGCTGAGGGAGGAGAAAGGAGCTGTGAGTGAAGCCAGCTCTGCTCTGGGCCTCCCTTCAAAGAAGGGCCCAGGGGCACCCTCTTTCCTGTACCAGCATGCCCAATGTTCAGTGTTTAACTACAGAACTGAGAACTACAGAGAATGTAAGAAAGAAAAGGCATGATCTGTGTCTTCCCAAGACCTCTGTTCTTAAGCAGGAGTAACAAGGAGTCATAAAAGGGCCCTTAAAATCACCTGGTCCAACTCCTTCATTTTAAAGAAGGGGAAACCGAGGCCCCGAGAGGGTAAACAACTTGCCTAGCATCATCCGGTTAAGAGGGCAGAGCCAGAACTATAATCCGGGTTCCTACTCTCAGCCACGGAAGTAGGTAACACTCAGCCCACATTCAAGTCTGGCTCATAATTTAATTTTCTCCAGTCCAACAAACAGTATAACAGGACTTCAGAATCCCATTCAGTTGTGGAAAATGCAACAGTTTTTAAAAATCTTTAGTAGTAATATCTTGAAACACAGAGAAGGAAGGGGCTCTTCTTACCTCTGGGTAAGTTTCAGCCATTTTTTGTCCCTCTACTTTTCTCCCTCACTTAGCCACAGTTTTTGGATAAAACACACACATGAAAAAAACAAAACAAAAAAAAAACACACACATGGTTCGAATGTCAATGAGACATTTACAAATGTATAAGGGTCTGGGTTGACACGCATCTAATAAAAGACGTCTACAATATAGGGTCACATTAACTGCGACGTGCAAGAAAAACTGGAAAAATTTTAAACGGCAAAATCAAAATCCTTCCTTGTCAAGTAATGTTAGATTTAGAAATGTTACTGGTGAACAGATGATGTTACTGTGCTGCAAAGATACTAGAAAAACTAATTTGAAACGGAATTAGTAAATCTTGTAACTATTTCAGAATATACAGCAATAATATAAGCTAAAGCAAAATGTAGAAAAAGATCAAGTACCTAGCACTTTAACCCTCTGAGAGTTAGGAAATGCTCTGGAAGATGAGCAGCACAAAGAGAAACTGAGAATAAGTGCATATGCCTCAATTCCTTCAAGAACTATTTACGACGTAACAACTGTATGTTCCAGGGTCTGGAAAGCTGTTACTCTGGTAACCTGAATCAGCCCTAATCTGGCACTTAAAACCACGAAGATCCTCCTCCGTTTCCTGACTTCACCTGGTGGAGTGTGGAGAGAGCTCACAAACCCTACGAGGACCTAACGGGACTGGGTGGACAGTGGTGGATAAACATCACAGCGCACTGGTTGGCTCACAAGGCTTTCTCCAGCTTACGAGTGCTGGCTATCTTGCAGAATGCACGGCAGACAATACTTCCTTAAGCTCTAATATTCCTATCCTGAATGTCATCATAAATAAACACACTGGTTAAGGACTGTGCCTTTGCCAACTCTTGCTGAACAACCATACTTTTAGCATGTTATTTTTTTTTCTTTTACTGATATTCTAGGTATCAACTTTGATTTTAAAATTGGATAAAAATATTGTTAATATTTCCCTCAAAGGAAAAAAAATTCAACTGATTTTTATTTATATGACCCTGAAGTGATTTTTTTTTGCCTCATGTTCCTCAACCAAAAACAAAATATTTTTTCCATCCTTTTCCCATTCTTTGGAATTTTTGAAAGTAACCTAGAAATAGAGTGATGTTACACAGTATTTTATACATTTTAAATAAAATGAATTGATAAATGATCCTTTTAAAGATAATTTATGACATACTAGGGTGTTGGCTATATTTCATCTCTTCCTAGGACTTCCCCGTAAAAACAAAAAAACCTGCTAGACATCCAGAATACTAACAATTCAACAAATAATATAATGTCCACCCAAGTTCATTATGCACATTTCACTTACCTCCTTGGTAACATTATTTAACTCCTGAAATTGGTCTGTAAGTTATACTTCCTTTGATATTTAGTAATAACGACAATAGAAATAAACATGTTTCTCTATTACAGGCATTTAGCAACACAGAGAGGAGAGGGCACTCCCATCCTGAATAGTTTGCTTCTTTCCCCCCATGTGAAACCTTGCTTCTTACCCCGTGGTTGTAAGAGGCGGGGTTTCCGAGATGAATGCTTGAAATGGGACTGGGTGGCCTCATGAGGAAGGTCAAAGCTCGAGGACTCCTGTACTGGATCCAGAGGCACCATCCCCCTTGCGAGCATCTCAGGTCCATGAACTTGACCTGGGACCTAAGGACAAACAGGGTGGGCTTGTGGGTAAATCACTTTTTAAACAGGAATTTAAACAAGTGAAAAAAGACAGTAAATATACCAGTGGCTGCAGGAAGGACAGGGCCAGAATACTTTTTAATATCCAAGCAGAAGAGGATCAAAGCACCACAAGGACTATTAATACGAACTTTAAGTCAGTAACTTTCTCTCTGCTTCAGTCTCAAAGTCCACGTGCTGCTCACACATGACAGGTTTCCCCTCTTCTTACCTGCTGTCCTGATAAATCCAGCTCCAGATCTTCCAGAAGGGTCACAGCCTCCTCTCCACTATCGGGACGGTATTCCTGCAGCCAGACTTGGAGCTCCTTGGGCAGAATGGAAAGGAACTGCTCCAGCACCAGCAGCTCCAGGATCTGCTCCTTGGTGTTTATCTCTGGTCGCAGCCACTGGTGACAAAGTTCCTTCAGTCGACTCAGGGCCTCTCGAGGCCCAAAAGTGTTCTGGTAACAGAAGTGCCTGAACCGCTGGCGGAAGATCTCCGGGTCAGGAGGAGGAGACTCCTGCAGACTGGCGTCCTGCCCCCACACGTGCTCTTCCTCATCCTCCTCTTCGACCTTCACTATCACAATGCCGTCCTTCTCCTGGGCAGCGTGGGGGGACAGACCGGTGGCTTCCCTTGACTCAGCAGTCATCATTCAGGCTCAGGGACCTGACTTGATCCAAACAGGGTCTGTGCTCTCCTTTCTGTCCTGGGAAATGTTTTCTGATATCTGTTTCTGTACTATTCCTGAAGGAGTAAAAAAAAAAAAAAAAGTTATTGGTACCTTTATGAAAAGTGACCTGTGCTGTTAATATTTCATACAAGGCTACACATCAAGGCATTAAAAATGCCTCTGGGGGCTTCCCTGATGGTGCAGTGGTTAAGAATCCGCCTGCCAACACAGGGGACATGGGTTCGAGCCCTGGTCTGGGAAGATCCCACGTGCCGTGGAGCAAATAAGCCCGTGCACCATAACTACTGAGCCCGTGAGCTACAACTACTGAGCCCGCGTGCAACAACTGCTGAAGCCCACGTACCTAAGAGCCTGTGATCCACAACAAGAGAAGCCACCGTGATGAGAAGCCCACGCACAGCAACAAAGAGTAGCCCCTGCTCGCCGCAACTAGAGAAAGCCTGTGCACAGCAATGAAGATCTGACACAGCCAAAAAATAAATAAATTAATTAATTTTTAAAAATGCCTCTGAATAGCAAAGGGGGGAAAAAAAAGCCTCCAGAGCCACACTGTTTTCCCTGTCACTCTAGATATTAAGGTTTGCAAACAAACTTCCAACTGGCAAATTCCCCCCTCAGGGTGTTTGCCTGAGCACCGTCCCTCCAGGAGGAGGGCAGGCTATGACATCATGTGTTTACACGCTAAGCCCAGTGAGAGCGGAATGTCAGTGGGGTGCCAGGCACCCGCTTCAGCAGCACACTAGCCATCTTACCCCCTCCCACAACACCCTTGGAGCACCATCTCACAGATGACACGACTGTGGCTCGGACGACTCAAGTGATGTGCTCAGGAGCAGGAGGCTACCTACCTAGCAGAGTCAACACTCAAGCCAAACGTGAAGGCCAGGACTTACTAACCCACCGTCTAGCTATTTCTATTATTTTTATAGGTGCCTTGGTCAGTACGAGATAATCCACTTTGGACAGAGAAAGAAAATATCAAAATGTCTATTTATATTTTAAAAGTGAGAAAAAATAAACCATATTTAATGTACAAATGGACACTACCAAACTCACTTGGTCTAAATGCTGAACTGCCACATGTCACACATGAGACAAGTGTGTGGGGGGGTGTGAGCAAAATGGGTCAAATGACACAAACTTCCAGTTAAAAAATAAGTTAAGTGCTGGGGACGTAATGTACAGCATGGTGACTACAGTTAACAGTAATACTGTCCTGCATATTTGACAGCTGCTGAGCGTAGTTCTTAAAAATTCTCATCAGAAGAAAATAAAATGTAGGGGCTTCCCTGGGGGCAAAGTGGTTAAGAATCTGCCTGCCAATGCAGGGGACATGGGTTCAAGCCCTGGTCCGGGAAGATCCCACGTGCCTTGGAGCAACTAAGCCCGTGCGCCACAACTACTGAGCCTATGCTCTAGAGCCCGTGAGCCACAAATACTGAGCCTGTGTGCCACAACTACCGCAGCCTGTGCTCCTAGAGCCCGTGCTCCACAACAAGAGAAGCCACCGCAATGAGACGTCTGTGCACCGCACCGAAGAGTAGCCTCCGCTCGCTGTAACTAGAGGAAGCCTGTGTGCAGCAATGAAGACCCAACACAGCCAAAAATAAATAATAAAATAAAAAGAAAAATGAAAAAAAGAAAATGTAACTATGGTGACAGATGTTAACCAGACTTACTGTGGTGATCACTTTGGAATATACACAAATATTGAATCGTTATGTTGTACACCTGAAACCAATATAATGTTACATATCAATTACATCTCAAAAAAAAGAGAGACAAGCAGCTTTAAAGATTCTTTCAGAGAAACTACAATTAGGGAAATACTAACGATGCAAATACACACAAACAAGAAAACTGCACAGGAATTTTTAATTTTTTAAAAAATTTTTTTATTTTTTGCGGTACGCGGGCCTCTCACTGTTGTGGCCTCTCCCGTTGCGGAGCACAGGCTCCGGACGCGCAGGCTCAGCGGCCATGGCTCACGGGCCCAGCCGCTCCGTGGCATGTGGGCTCTTCCCGGACCGGGGAACGAACCCGTGTCCCCTGCATCGGCAGGCGGACTCTCAACCACTGCGCCACCAGGGAAGCCCTGCGCAGCAATTTTTAACTCAGCCAGGTCAGAAGGTAAAAACAAATGTGGAACTAAATCAAACTTAAGAAGTCAACCGATAAGTGAGAAAGTAGCTGAATTTCAAGAACAAAAATTTAACATGGTTGGTGGATAGGATCAACCATGAGTTGCTAAGCAGAGGCAACAATGTGTCGCTTCCATCTGAACTGACAAATCTTTGTGAAGCATCTTTTTTTTTCCACCTCTACGGCCATCAAAATTAAGCATCAAATTCAACTTTTAGAGACAGAGCATCCAATTGTTCTATAACAAAGAGATAAGCCAAGAGTTTTAGACTAGCAAAGTATTTTTAATTACATGGCTCTCACTGAAAAATTATTAGTAATTTTGATGGAAAAAGGATCATGTACGTTGAAAGCACAAATTTTTTTCTAGAATAGCACAACTTAATGTATTTTTTTAATTATACAAAACACTGGTACATGTATATAATTTTTCTAAATAGTTTTTACTGACAGGAACGTGTGACCAGAAAAGTTTGGAGATGACTGTTCTAATCGCAAAGAATATGATTTTAATCTGAAATTTATCACAGGATTAGTTTTTTTTTCTCTTACTTTGGTCCTTAATGAAAACCAGAAATCCTTATTAAAATAGCAGTCTATAATAACAATAAAGAATATTACATTCAAAAAGGCTTACTACATAAATGTAAAAACAATGTGGGAATTAAGTCATTTCTCCAATGATTTTAAACTGGTAAAAGTCCTGTTGCAAACCATCTTCTAGCCCTTCCCATCCACTCCTTCAGACCTGTTTTGCACTCCACCCACCTTGCTGCAGGAAATATATTTTGTTTTTTAACTTCAGAGCAGCTTTACCTGGAAAGTCCTTACAGTTATGAGTATTCGATTTCCTAACCATTTCTGCAATCTACAGTATGCAAAGTGTCCTGCTAGACTGAGGGGAATAAAAAGATGAGAAGCACCATTCCTATTTTTACACAAATAATTACAGTACAAAGCAGATGTGCCAACAGTTCTAAGGAGGTTACAACCTGAGTGCTGGAGAAGCCCTGAGGAGTGACTGACAGCTACAAGGCAGCTTCCAGGAAACAGCCCCCCTGGAGCTGGGACCCAGAGAGGAAGAGGCAGCGAGTAGGGAGTCCAAGAGATCACTCCTTTGGCTAGCTTTCTCCCAGCTGGAGGCTGAATAATTCCTGTAAGGCTTATTCTCTTTATTTCATCCTGAAAAGTGAAAAGCAAGACTATCTTTTCCAGCTATGCCTCCCAGAACTGTCTTCCACCACCCTAATCCAGGCTCCACATCTCCTGCCAAGACTAGGGCCTTAGCTCCATACATTTTCTCTAGCGTCCATTTCTCCCCTTTCTAATGCGAACAACATACCAAGGTCAACTTAGTATTGCCAAAGTATGCTTCTAGGCATTCCCTCCTTCCCCTCAGTTACTGTCAATGAATCCCTGACATCTACCGATTAGTGTTCAAACAACACACTCCACTCGACCTTTCCACTCCCATTACTTTCCTTAGTAGTGATCCCCTATGTTTCAGCCTATTGGGCCCATTAATATTCCCCAAGCATAGGGTGTGACTTTGCATCTTCACCCCTTTGCTGGGACCAATCTCCCACCTTTATCCACCTCTACTGGCCAAATTTTCACTCACCCTTCAAGATGTACACTGTCTCCTGACATTCTGAATTAAATAAGATATCTTCCTCCTTTGAACACCCTTGGTACTTTCTCTGTTCCTATCTTAGGCACTTCTACTCTCCTTGTATTAACATTACTTGAGCTGCTGTTCCTATCTCCACCTCCCAGCTAAGCCCCTCAAGGACAAGGACTTTTGTTTACTTATCTTCTAGGGAACTGGGGAGACTGTTGAACAGCACAGAAGAAATAAGAACAACTCAGCGGCTTCCCTGGTGGTCCAGTGGTTAAGACTCCACGCTGCCAATTCAGGGGGCCCGGGTTCAATTCCTGGTCAGGGAACTAGATCCCACATGCCGCAACTAAGACCCAGCTCAGCCAAATAAATAAATAAATATTAAAAAAAAAAAAAAGGAAAAGGAAAAGAAAAAAGAACAACTCAAGCCATTACAGCGCCCCCTGCCGTCTTATTGCCTTTAGTGGCAATTAGTGATCAGACAGCCCAGGAACATCTCATCACTCAGGCGCAGAATCTCACCTTCCTTGACTCCTCTCTTCTTACATGCATTCAGTCTCCAGGCACCAGGGAGAAGTAATTCTTTGTTCATACTTATTTTTCTGTCTAGCTCCATGGAGGCCAGCTTCCTCTCTTTGGTGCCCTGCCTTCACCCCCCGGCAGTTCACCTCCCACCTTGCTCTCAGATCTTCTTCCTAAAACTCTAGAGCCTTGTAGTCAATACTCCCCAGCACCTGGTCCCAGTTTCCCCATCAAGCTTCATTTCCCATGAATTTCTCTCCCTCCCCTGCATGAACCTTTTCCATCCAGCAAAATGAGTCTACTCAGTACTTCCTAAATATGTCTTCCATTTTGAACACCATCCTTTTCTCCCATGATAATGCCTGGGATTTCCCTCCCAGTCTTCTCTGACTTTTCAAATCCTACTTATCCTTCAGAGCTAAGCTAAAATGCAACTTGCCCCTCATCTGTTCAAGAGGCCTCTCTCTAGTAGGCATTATAGGAAGAACCAATGTTAACTGAGTGCTTTCTATGTACCAGGCATTTCACACAACACCCTCAGGAGGTAGGTACCATTGCTGTCTCACTGTATAATGACAAAACTAAGGTTTACAGATGTTAAATAACATACCCAAGGTCACAGAGCAGTTGAATGGCAGAGCGAGGATTTGAAATTAGGTCTGTGGGACCCCTCAGCTCAAGCTCCAACCATCATACCAAACTCATTCTGTCCCAACGTGTGGGGTAAGGAAGGGCTTCTGTGGACACACGGATTCTTTCGAAGAGGAAGGCCTATGAAGGATGACCACTCAGGAATGGGCCTCACCTGCCATCCACTGTTTTCACTGGAGAGCTGCGTGACTAAGGAGACACAGCAGGAGATGCAAGTGGGAATCATCTAAACTCTAACCAGGTGGGACCTTCGAAAGAGACAACTGAGCAGAGCTAGTGTGGCATCTAGTCTGGTGTCAGAAATCTCATTTATGAAAATTCTGTTCCATCTTAGGCATTTAAGGAAAGGAATCTTAATTTGTGCCCACACCTTAGCCAGTTTTGAAGAGTAGGATGCTCCTTGGGTCAGTGGGACTCAACAGGAAGGGATTCTGAGGAGGAAGTGAGACCTAAAGGGACAGAGATGAGGGCACGGTCACAGTCCCTCTTCCCCCAATTTTGACAGGTACCCTCCCCCCCAACATTTCTCTGCTCCTACTTTGGGCAGGAGAAAAGTCACAACAGCGGCGGAAGGGCTGGGTTTTATTTTAGGTTTCAGGGGATCTGCGCACACAATCTTTTCTCCTCTCTCTAAACTCTATGCCCTAATGGTCTCCACCAAGCATTTGCTATTCAAGTTCTTTCTTGGTAATCTAATTTTTCATGCCGTCTTCTTCGACTGGACTATTGTTAAGAGTATGTGTCTTTGTACCTCTCAGACCACTTAGTATGACCTCTTTGCAAGCACTAGTTTTTAAAAAATACTTGACTGAATGTTACTCTTTTTGGCCCATTCATACAGCATTCAAAGTTGCCCTCAAATTACAGGCGTGGAAGGGTTTCACTAAACTGCATCACCACTTACCAGCTGATTTTAGGTTACTCTAAGTACAGATGTTTCTCCTCTGGGTTAAAAAACAGTATTTGTCTCACAGAGCTGCTGTGAGGATTACAGGAGTTAACATATATGAAGCACTTCAAACAGTCTCTGGCATTTAGTAGGCACTAGAGAAGTGTTTTAAATTTTTTCAATAAACTTAAGAGATGTAACTATACTTTCCAATTTTCAGCCTGCTTAAAAGATTAAGCAACAGGAGAAATCCTGTAATAGTGAAAGTAGCACAGGGTGGAACACCTGAATTCTAGTCTCCCATGAATAAGAGTGAGTCCCTCCCTGGGTGAGTTATTTAACCTCTCTGACATCCAGTATCCTTATCTGTCAAATTGGGGCGGGGTGGGGGAGGGAACAGAGGAGCAGAAAACTACCTCTGGGGTCCCTTTGAGCCGAAAACCATTCTGACACACTATCCGATTTAGATAAGATTACCCCCAGTACCTGGTTCTCCCCGAAGGTAAATACGAAAGATTTTCTTACAAAAAAGGCTTGGAGTTACAAGCTCAGTTTATTCCAAAGGCTATTTTCTAAACAGGCCAGTATCTTTTCCAGGGCATAGTCTTCAAAGTTTAAACTGCCTCCCACCCATTTCTGAACAGAGCTCTAAGATGCTTTAAAACATGAAAAAGCTACCTTTAAAAGACAACTAGCTACCCAAAGAATACTGATACTCAGAATGAAAAGGTAACATTTAACATAACACTCATCTGTATTTAGATACAATATAAAGTTAGGAAAAATTTAAATGCTTAGACCAAGTAGGGAATCAGCAAAAGACTATGATATTAAGTAGCTAGCTTCCCTGTTTGCATTTTAAGATTGGTGAAAACTGCCTGAAATAATGAACAAGCATCGTGCATAGTAATTCAGAGACAATACAAACTTGGAGAAACATTCTGGGGCAAATGATCATTATGGTTCCCTAAGTAATAAAGCTATTTCTCCACACGTGGCTGGCAAATACAGTAACAGGGCTTTGTTGACTGGTTACAATGAATCCTCCACAATTCAATTCGACAACTATTTACTGACCACCTCCAATCCGCCTAGCAGTGGTCTGTACAATAAATGCTTTCTTAGGTCCCAGGCCATGTAACAGCTGCTCTCTATAATGAAAGTATCTTATTGAGTACCACTGCAGGAAACGGAGGGCAGGGGGTCAGTGTCAGGCTGAACTGTAGCTGAATTTTTCAATTACATTGACCAAATCAAATTATCTCAAAGTTGGAAGGGTCTTTGGGGAAAACCTAGTTAATTTGATTGATGACAAAACTGAGAGTTGGCGGAAGTGTCTTATCTTATCCAAGGTCACTCAGTTAATCAGTCTCCTAACGGCCCCGCGCAATTTCCACAAATTCCTTTCACTCCTCACCCCTTCCAAGTCAGGCAGAATAACTACTACCCAGGAGTGGAAAATCCACCTCATCTACCGGACAGCTCGTTTTCAAAAGCCTTCGAAATAGTCCATAAAGCTGAAAGAGAGTGGGATGTACATATAATCTCTACTAGACCCGAATCATTTCTTTACCCACTCTGACTAGGTTTCAAAAGCTCTTTAATCACCGCTCGGGGGTGGGGGTGGGGGTGGGGTGAGGAGAAGCAGGTGATCTGGAAACACGTATGCGGCACCTTGAAACGTGTCCATTTCTCAGCCTTCCGCATTTTTCACCTCGAGGTCCTGCAAGGACCCCGGAAAAAAACCTCTCTCACTGGAATCAAAGCAAATGGCGACGAAAGCAGAGCAGAACATTCAGACAGGGGTCGGTTCGCTCGCGACCCGGTTCTCAGAAACGTCAAGCGACGATGACGACACTGCAGGAGAGGGGCCCGGAAGGGGCCCGCAGACGGCCTCCCAGGACCCCCGGTCAAGGACCGTCGCCCCCTCCCCGCCTGGGCCCGCGGTGGGGAGGGGGGGACGGCCTGGCCTGGGGCGGGGACGCTGGCACGGACTCGCTTCATGCTGCGCCCCGGCCGCCCGGAGGGGACCCCGGGGCCTCAGGTGCAGAGCCCACCCCCACGCACACACCCCTGCGACCCCGCCCTCCCCCCCCAGAGGCCGGCCCCACCTCTCACCGTGAGCCCCGGGAGCGGCCTAGGGGCGCTGGGCGAGCAAGGGGAGCTGACTCTGGGGCTCAGGCCGGCCGAAGGGCGCCGCGCACGGAACTAGGCCCTCTTGACGCCTCGACACAGACACAATGAGTCACAAAGGCCGGAAGTGTGTCAGCACCTCGTCTTCCGGGACTGCGCCGCGCTTCCGGGTCCTCTCTAGGAGCGCGGGAGGTTTTGGAATCTCGGTTCCCGAACGCTGGACCAGTCCCCTGCCCTGCCGTGGTCCCATATCCCGCTTTGGGGTCTCCGCCCTCAGCCTGTGCGCCCCGTGTGAAGGCTGGGGACGAAGGAGAAGGGATTCAGGCCTTTTGAGATACAAACAGACTGTCCAGTTCTGACACCAGTCCATCTGATAATTCGATTTCTCCTTTTTCATCTCTGGCAGTCCTTGTAGTAATTATAGTTATTACCAAGAAATAATAATACTTAATAATTGTATGTCTGTGGCAGAGGAGCTGAAAGAAGGGTGTACACAGAGGAAGGTCAAAGTGAAGCCAGCGGTGGCTGGTTTCACAAAACTGCCGTGGTAGTTTCTCTCGGGCCCTGAAGATGTCTGACAATTGAGTGGGTGGTATTTTTAAATACTTGGCCTGTGGATGAAGGACGTCTTTCTACAACCAAGCTAGTTACAGGTTCTATGTTCTGCTCATGTGAGATATGCTATTATAGCGATTTGAAAGAAGTTTTCAGAATAATAACAGACACTTATGCCTTCAAGGTGCTTTCACAACCTACAACAATTATGGCCTTCACCTGGCAAGATAAAACAGAAATAATACTCCACCTGCTGAGCAAGGGTGACCACAGGCTTTAATGATTGTGACTTTGCTGTATATTCCAAGGCAAGTTTGGGGGAGAGACTGAACTTAATAGCTTGGTTGCATGACTCCTATTGCTTGGAAGAGATTACTTTTTTTTTTTTTTTAAGAGATTACTTTTTAAAAAATATTTGAAAACTAAAAGGCAATTCAGTATCATTAAATGAAAATTACAAAATGGAGAAAAATAATCAGCTGTAATCCCTCCATCGTAACCCAACTATGATGGTTTTAATGTATCCCCTTCCTATCTGTTTTCATATGTATATGTTTTTATTATTTTAAACATGGTTCAAAACTATGATTGTATTGGATATGTGGCTGGTGTACTTGAAGCACCTGCCACATTCATATTGTGTGGCCACTTTTTGGACCAGAGCTGATGGGAACAGTTTTGGGCACTTGATGGAAGCACAGCTTACGTGCTGAGGTGGTCTGCTCTGAGAGCTCTGATGAATGCGACAGTAGGGAACTAAAGCAACTAGATCTCCTTTCTTGGGGAGTTCAAATGTGAGACACACAGAAAACTGGGGCCAAGCAGAAATCAGTCAGCAGAAGGCATTAGGTGACAGAAACCACAAAGCCGTGAGTGTCATGGGTAAGCAGTGGTTTCAGTAGAGAAAACTCAACTGAGCTATAGAAACAAAGACCAAGAGGGTCTGATGCACCACATGGCAGAGCTCACCGAAGGGAGCCCAGCCACCTAGTGCTGAGAACCCACAGCATAAGGAGGTGACAGCCTGAATAACTCTCAGGTCCCAAAGTTTTATTCTCTGCACCGCTTGACTTTGCTGCAGATGCTCTTGTATCCTGTCTCCCTACTTCCCCGTGTGTCCGTGTGTCCTTAGAATAAATCCCTTGCCAACAAAAGAGTCTCACTTTGTTCCTTGCCACAAAGAAAAGCCCGATGTGGTTGATGTGAAATAATGCATGCTACTTTAAAAAGCTTAATATCATATCATTAACATTGAAAATTTTGCTACACAAAATGGATAAGTATCATTTTAATAGCTGTATAGTATTCCGTCAAGCAGCTGTACCACTAATTATTTAATAATTCCTGTATTTCTAGACATGCTGAATACTTCAAAAGTTTTGCTAGGTTAAGAAATATTTAAATGAAGATCTCTGTGCAGATGTCTTTTGGATTATTTAAATAAGACAGATTCTGACAAGCAAGTTTACTGAGTTAAAAAAAATGTATATATATACATATATATGTATATATATATTACCATTATTTACAATTGCCAAGATATGGAAGCAACCTAAGAGTCCATCAACAGATGAATGGATTACGAAGATGTGGTGTGTGTATACAATGGAATATTACTCAGCCATAAAAAAGAATGAAATTTTTCCATTTGCAACAACGTGGATGGACTTGGAGGGTATTATGCTAAGTGAAATAGGTCAGACAGAGAAAGACAAATACCGTATGATAGCACTTATATATGGAATAATAAAATTTTTTTTAAAAAGTGACATAGCACTGGTCTTCGAGAAGTTTCAAGTCTGGTGGGGATATTAGATCAATGCATGGGTCACCAAAATACAAAGTGAAATGATGCATATATCCAGAGCCATATAAATACACTTCTCTGTCCTGACTGCAGGTTTCCCAGGGCAGAATTAAGGGATCTGTGGGGCCCCTCTTCCAAAGGTTACTCTCTGGTAGTAGAAAAAGGGGTTGTCTCTTGCATAGCACAGGGAACTCTACTCTGTACTCTGTAATGACCTATATGGGAATAGAATCTAAAAAAGAGTGGATATATGTATATGTATAACTGAATCACTTTGCTGTACACCTGAAACTAACACAACATTGTAAATCAACTATACTCCAATAAAAATTAATTTAAAAAAAAAGAAAAAGGGGTTGTCTCAAGCCTGCTCCAAGGTCAGCTGTGACAAGGTCAGCTTCTCCTCCTGCTGCCCCTAAGTGCCACTGCCTGCTGTTGTCTACTCTGAGTCCCCTGGCTTGGAAAGGCCTCTTCTTCAGTTCCTGGACTTATGAAAGGTCCATAACACAAGATTGTTGTGCACCTGTGCCAGCGAGGCTGTGGGCAGGGCAGGGCGGGGTGGAAGGGGCCGGGCCAGGGAAGGAGCAGTCCCCACGTGAGGACCTTTCTTAGGTCAGCCACCTCTGTGCTGACTGAGGGCCTGGCCCTCACGCCTCCCCCCTCCCCCTGCCCCTGCATGACACATCCTCTGTGACCCCAGCTGTCCCACTGTGTGTGGCCTCTGGCCTTCCCACCTGTCCCCTCTTGCTTCCTGTGGCTCCACAGAGAGACCACCACCGGCAGCCAGCCTGCTATCTGGCCCTTGTCAGCGCATCTGGGTGCAGTGGCTCTGTCCCTGAGCTGGGCTTTCCTCCAGCATGGTCGCCCCCCTCACCTGCTCCATTACCTCTGATATGCTGTGCAAACGTACTTCTGGATAAAATGCTGGGAAGAAAAAAGATTGTTGTGCACAATAGATTTAATCCTCAGTTTCTGAATCAATGAGGAAGATGATAACATGCAGATTGGAATCAAACTCAAGGTGAATATTCAACATTTGCAACCGCTGCAGCCATCGGGAATTTATACCTGCCCAGATCGCTCATGCTTAGCCCTCCCCCTGCACCCAAGCTCTCTGCTTTACCCAAATCTTCCCTCTCATCTTCTTCCTTCTAGGATTTTAACAATCTCTTGGAGCTTTTATTCTATTGAACATCGATGTCTCTTTATGTACGTCCATCCGCCCCACCCCCAAGTGCCCACAGGGGCCAGGCAGCCAGTGGCTGGGATAAATTTAATTGTTACCTGAGCTTGAAGTGGGACTGTGGGTGGCTGTCCATCTGTTGAGCACAGGCCCTGGCCGAGGGAGGCACTCACCCTTCAGGCTATTGTTGCCAAACCAGGTGTGGACTCAGAATTTCCAGAAAGGCTAATTCTTCCAAGGAGAAAAGAGAAATGGGATTTTTAGATGAAGTCTCTCAATTATTACTTGGTACTCAGCAAACAAACGAGGGGCACACTGGCACTGGGCATGCACACAATACACCCCCTCTGAGTTGGGCGCAGAGAGATTTGCAGGTGGCCGTGTGTGCTACCTCTCGTCTAAAGAGCCCCAGGGCCAGGAACCTTCCCTTTCTTATACAATTCCCTTCCAGGGGTTTTCCTAAACAAAGAGCCATCGGCATGTGAAGTGAATGCTGATCCTCCACCAACAATATGGAAGCACTACTGCAATTCCTTCCCTTTAAAAAAATAGTCTTTTGGGGCTTCCCTGGTGGTGCAGTGGTTGAGAGTGCGCCTGCCGATGCAGGGGACATGGGTTCGTGCCCCGGTCCGGGAGGATCCCACGTGTCCCTTAGTCTTTTTCTTTGCACTGCATGAGGAAATTGTACATTCTGGAGGCGGGTGGGCCCTCTGGGAGAAGGATGAGGGATGTAGCTGATTGTTTTGTTTTTTTTTAACATCTTTATTGGAGTGTAATTGCTTTACAATGGTGTGTTAGTTTCTGCTGTATAACAAAGTGAATCAGCTGTACTATACATATATCCCCATGTCCCCTCCCTCTTGCGTCTCTCTCCCATCCTCCCTATCCCATCCCTCTAGGTGGTCACAAACCACCCGCTGATCTCCCTGTGCTATTTGGCTGCACTGGGTCTTCGTTGCTGCGCGCGAGCTTCCTCTAGTTGCGGCGAAAGGGGGCTACTCTTCATTGTGGTGCGCGGGCTTCTCATTGTGGTGGCTTCTCTTATTGTGGAGCACAGGCTCTAGGTGCACGGGCTTCAGTATTTGTGGCATGTGGGCTCAGTAGTTGTGGCTCGCGGGCCCTAGAGCGCAGGCTCAGTGGTTGTGGCGCACGGGCTTCGTTGCTTCACAGCCTGTGGGATCTTCCCGGACCAGGGCTCGAACCCACGTCCCCTGTATTGGCAGGCGGATTCTTAACCACTGCACCACCAGGGAAGTCCTGAAAAGTCCTTCTCACCATGAAAGATAACATATTCACAGGTTTTGGGATTAGGGCATAGATTTTATTTGCGGGGGGGGGATCGTTCTGCCCACCAAAATTTCCTGGGGGAAGAATTCTTCAAACCCTCCCTGCAGGCTGTCCATCCAGCTCCCAAGTCCTGGGCACGTACGGACCTGCATCCCCAGGCCATTTCTTCACCATCAACTGTCAGCTGGCCATCACCACCATCAAAGATGTTGCTGCTGCCACTACCCCCAAAGCAAATGACACCAGAATCACCTGCTGGCAAAGGAGTCTGGAAAGTGTA